GTAGAAGGCGGCGGCATCCGACACGCTACGGGGCAAGTCTGCGAATGCTCCTGGAGAGCTCCGGATTCGGGTAAGTGACAAGTAATTCACTTTTACGTGCTTGCTTTGCATAAAGAATGCCCTACCCGCCGCTATCTTTTTTATAGCCTCAACCTCCTGGAGGGCCTTCTGGGCTTCGGCCTTGGCAGACTTGGCATCTTCAATGGCCGCCGCAAGCTCAGACTCTCGCGTCTTCGAGTCAAGCTCCAAACTCTCATGTTTTTTCATGAGAGCCTGGAGCTCTTGCCGCACCTCGCCAACCTGCGTCTCATGCTTCTCCTGCTCGGTGCGCTCCGTGGCCGCCCTCTTTTCGGCCTCAGACAGCGCTTGCTTAAGGGTCGCCACCTCAATTGTGGCCCCTACAATAGCCGCGTTAATCCTGTCACTTTTTGCAATTGCACCTTTCACATATTTCAATAAGGTATTTCTTACCTTCCTTCTCCTCGAGCTGCTGCTTGGCTGGGCCGAGCTCTTGCTCGGACCGCTCGAGGTTCTGCTTCAGCGTATCCACCTCCGCGGTCAGTGCGGCGGAGGCCAGCAGCGAAGCCTGCATACGCATATTGACTTGATTATGTTAGACTCCTGTGATTATTAGATCCTCTATTCAGCTTTTCTTTCCGAACGCCGAACAGAGCATCAGGGGCTACTGTCTATGCGGTAATATTTTTACATATTCTTTACTTACCTCAAAGCCTGTTAGAAGGCCGGCACAAGCTTCAGTCAGTCCGCTCTTGGCGGACTGAACCTTCTGGATCACCGCACTCTTAATAGTGCGGTGCTCCTCGTTGATGGAGGCGCCGTTAAGCGTCTCCAGCAAATTGTCCGGTGCCTCCGGTTGGACGAAGGTCACCGGCTCGGTAGGCTTGCTCCTCTTGGAAGGAGGCTGCCTACCGGAGTCCGGAACTGTTTAAGGTTCCGGCGCGGTGTCCGGCTCAAGGCCGGACTTGGAGCCCTTGGAGGTTCTATCCGCTTTACGCCTGGAGTCCGGGAGGTTGCCTTGTGGCGCCTTGACCTCCTCCTCCTGGTTTGGAACTTGTTGGGACGCCACCTCGGCGCCGTCCGTAGGGTGGGGGGAGGAAGCCGTCGGAAGCGAATTCACATCCGACGAGTCCAGGGAGCCGCTCGACGACTCGTCGAGCCCGGCCTTGGGCGGACTGCACAATCATGTTCAACGTAAGGAAAAGTTGTGCAATGGGGGAATACTATGAATCACTCTAGTATCTAGATACTTACAATTTCGCCAGGGGCTTGGCCCTATGCGACCACTCCTCTTCGCCGTCGTCGGCGTTGGTGGAGTAGTCCGGAGGAGGGGTCTTCCTCCTCTTGGACCCTTCGGCCTTCCCGGTTGGGGTGGCCTTCCTTTTCTTCCCTCCCCCGCTGGGGGGGAGAGGTCTCTTCTTCCTCCTCCTCGTCTTCAGGGGAGGAGCGCGCCTTGGAGTCGTCGGATGGTGAATCCGACACCTCTTGGCGCCGGGCACTCTTTCGAGTCCCCGTGGCCTTCTTCTTGGCCTTCTTCTCCGGCACCACGTAAGGTGTCGGAACCAGCAGCTTCGCCAAGCGAGCGTCCACTGGGCCTTCGGGCAAAGGTGTCGGACAATTGATCTGTCCGGACGTATCCTGCCAATCCTGTCAAAAGTAAGGGAACTTAGATCCCGCATGGAGTCAAACTATAAAAAACTAATACCCTATAAAAGGTGAAAACAGCTTACCGCACGAGCGTGACGCTGCGTGCTAAATCCGCGATCCTCGGTAGCGGATGCGGGGGCCTCGGCGCCCTTGAAAAGCACCTTCCAGGCATCTTCGTACGTCGTGTCGAAGAGCCTGCTCAGAGTTTGGTGCCGCGTCGGGTCGAACTCCCACAGGTCGAAAGCCTGTTGTTGACACGGGAGGATCCGGCGGATGAGCATAACCTGGACTACGTTGACAAGTTTTAGATTCCTGTCCACCAGGGTTTGGACGCATGTTTGGAGTCCGGTCAGCTCTCCTTTTTTACCCCACGACAGGCTCGTCTCATTCCAGGAGGCGAGCCGCGTAGGGGGTCCGGATCAGAACTCGGGGGCTGCGACCCATTCAGGGTCGCGCGGCTCGGTGATGTAAAACCACCCTGACTGCCACCCCTTTAGGGATTCCACAAAGGATCCCTCGAACCATAGGATGTTGGGCATATTGCCCACCATGGCGCCTCCACACTCCGCTTGGGTGCCGCGCACCACCTTCGGCTTGACATTGAAAGTCTTGAGCCATAGGCCGAAATGGGGGCGGATGCGGAAGAAAGCCTCGCACACGACGATAAACGCCGAGATGTTGAGGACAAAATTCGGGGCCAGATCGTGGAAATCCAGGCCACAGTAGAATATGAGCCCCCGGACAAATGGGTGGAGAGGGAAGCCCAGTCCGCGAAGGAAATGGGGGAGGAACACCACCCTCTCATGGGGCCTAGGGGTGGGGATGAGCTGCCCCTCTTCGGGAAGCTGATGCGTAATATCGTTAGACAAGTATCCGGCCTTCCTCAGTCTTTTGATGTGTCCCTCCATGGCGGAGGAGACCATCCACTTGCCTCCCTCTCCGGACATGGCTGGAGCAGGTTGAGGTGGGGTGTGCGGATTTGGGCGCTGGAGCTCGAGTGCGCGGAAATGGATAGTCAAAGAAGGAATAAGGCATGGATGAAAAGGTGGATCCTTATCCCCTTATATGGGCGGACGCGACTATGCGCCCCCACCAGCCTGGTAAAACTCGCTTATCTCCCAAGCGCCATAGTCAATGGCGCGGTTGGGTTACCCACACCCGTATTGATGAGAATCCCGGAATAAGGGGACACGATCTCTGCTTTAACAAGACATGCCAAGGAAACCGCCTCGCTAAACGCGCTGAGGTGGGACAGTAAAATGATTCGAATAAAGACTTGGCCGTGGTGTGATGTCACGCTACGGAATACGTCAGCAGATTAAATTTGTGTAAATATTATTCTCTCTATGGCAATATGTGGAAACTTATTTTGCAGAGCTGGACACTACCTTTGTGTTCAAAATCTTCTATGAAGTACTTGGAGGAGGAACCCGCCTTGCAATGCCGAAGACAATCTGCGCGCCGGACTCATCGTCATTGAAGCCTGGTTCAGGGGCTACTGAGGGAGTCCTGGATTAGGGGGTGTCCGGATGGCCGGACTATACCTTCGGCCGGACTCCTGGACTATGAAGATACAAGATTGAAGACTTCGTCCCGTGTCCGGAAGGGACTTTACTTGGCGTGGAAGGCAAACTTGGCGATACGGATATGTAGATCTCCTACCATTGTAACCGACTCTGTGTAACCCTAGCCCTCTCCGGTGTCCATATAAACCGGAGAGTTTTAATCCGTAGGACGAACAACAATCATACCATAGGCTATCTTCTAGGGTTTAGCCTCTTTGATCTCGTGGTAGATCTACTCTTGTACTACCCATATCATCAATATTAATCAAGCAGGACGTAGGGTTTTACCTCCATCAAGAGGGCCCGAACCTGGGTAAAACATCGTGTCCCCTGCCTCCTGTTACCATCCGACCTAGACGCATAGTTCGGGACCCCCTATCCGAGATCCACCGGTTTTGACACCGACAGTGATGCTGGGGTTGAAGCCGCCAAGCGCGTCGTCGTCAGTGTCGTAAGGTGAGGGCGCGTACCCCCACCCTGACGACGAGAAGTTGGCGGGTGATGCGACGCTCTGCTGGCTACCCCACGCGCCTTGTGGGTATTGGTCGGCCTGTTGAGCCAGAAGGAGCTGTCGCTCGTTCGCCATGCGCATGCGAGACGTCTCCTCCTGCTCCGCCGTCGCGTCCCTGGCCTTCTTCATGTTCAGCCTGTTCCGCCGATCGGTGGTGACCGCCGCCCGGCGATCAACGTCGGCCTTCCACTAGGCGTTCGTCAAGCCGGGGGGGCCTTGCCATCGGTGCCCTCGGCTTCCTTTGTTTTGACTGGGTGGAATCGGTGGCTAGGCGAGGGGGTGCATACTTCTTCGACGGCATGGCGGGCGGATCTGGAGAGAATGGCGGTAGCTGCGGGGGAGAAGGGGGTCGGTAGGGGAAAAATGGAGGGAAAGGGGAAAACGGCGGGAAAATCGATTGGTGTCGCCGATAGTGTGGGCACACACTCCTTTTCGCTTCAGCCGGTACCCCTGATGTGCTGGGTTCCGCTTGGGTTCGCCGGTTGTAATTTCAGCACAAAACGGCGAAAAACAAGGATCTGACGGCGCGGTTGGGCAATTTTTTCTGCTCCGGCGGTAAAAAGGACGCCCTATGGGGCTGTTGGAGATGGTTTTACTCTTTTTTGCTTACGCTGTAGTACTTTCTAGTGCTTCGCTGTGTAAATTTAAAAAAGTCTCATACTCCATAGGCCTCAATTGCAACGCATGCATTTCACATGAAGATGGGTTAGATTCCACACTGATTAGTTCAATTGCTGCGGCTCTCAGGACAATTTCCAAATTTCTCACACACCATCCCGTCAACATCCGAAAAGAATGATTGAATAATTCATCAGGAGCAGGTAAGCGTATGAAAGAATACAGTTAGCAGCAGCTAGCGCTGCCCTTGTTTTCAACGATAAAAACAAGAAAGAGATATACAGCTGCTAAGCAAAAGAAAACACTTGCAGAATGGAGGCCCAATTCCGTCACGGGCAATGCAGGAGGCATCAAAGAGGAGCCAGCAAGCGGTGACTCAGATGAAGCCTCTAAACAACGTGACGAACAATCGTCTTGTCTTCTAATAACAGTGTGCCTACCCTAGGCCGGCCTCAAATTGGAGGCACAAAGAATGGATTAACCAAGCAATCAATCAGCCCTACCCTCCTCTCCTTTCTAAACCCAGTCAGTCAGCATCTGTGCTAACCAAAATGCAAGCGCCCTCGTGTAGTTAACAATGCATCTAAACAAAGAATTGAGTCCTATCTGTCGAGGTTGTTAGCACCTGAGCGTCGGCTACCCTAAACCGTATGCCAAAACCCAGGCGGCTTGTCATCCACTGCAAATCTCTGGCCTGAACTGCCCTGCTGCTGCTGCTCGACCAGCCTGTTCGTGCTACGAGGCAACCGGATCTTCACCCGCTTCGGCCGGACCTCTGAGGCGGCTGCGTCTTTAGTTGCCTCCGCAAACTGCTGCCGGGAACAGCTGCTGGTAGATGGATACACATTCGACTGCTGCGCCGCATAACTGGTATCGCCTTGTTGAGCTTCCAGCTGCCGCCGCTTCATCCTCCAGGCAATGGGAACCATATCCTCTCTATCTTCCTCAGAAGAGGCAGAATTTGACTTATTGTGCCTCATACTAACTGAGGGAACTGAAGTACGCTCAGAGTCTTCTTCAGGTCGCTTATTGTCATGTTGTGTTTCTGGGGATGCCTTCTTCAGCCGCTTCAGAACCTGAGTAAACAGTATTCATATATAATATCAGAAACAAAACATGCAGCGTAACAAACCTACACAAACTCCATGGATTCTCAGTTGTTTCTCAATTACCAACCACGCGTTCAGTAACCTATAATATGATACACGCCTAAGCCTAAAAATTTATCAGCACATGAGGTGGGCAAGGAAGCAGCAGTTCACCAGGATGGTAGTGACAAAAATAATCAAAATTGTGGCTACAGGGTCAGATGCGTGAATAAAAATAGATTGGCTTCCTCTTTGACAATCTGTTCTCAAATTTCGAGGATCAAACTGGAGCATACCTTCTGTTCAGACATGTTTGTTGTCTTCGTGTCAGGAGCAGATCTTCCTAATATGCTGGACCTGCGCTTGACTCGGAAAATTTCAGTATCAGAATCAGAATTGCCACTGTATTCCATGGGTGAAGCATTGCAGGAACTAATTTCATTGCAAGCATCAGCCATGCAGGATGAATTGCCATCCAACGGACCATTCCCTTCCACTGATGATGTTTTTATGAACTGCTTAGTAATTGGCCAAATTTGGTCAGTTCGAGCTGCATGGAACTGAAAAACAACAATATTATTACCTCAAACTGAAAGACAACAGTTGGAAACAAGATTTGATACGAGTGCGGTAAACTGACCTTTGGTTCTGCAGGCAAAGACCCGTCACGATGTGCAAAAGACGTCAACGATGAAGTCGCAGGAGAACACTTTCCACCGTCAGCAGCATTTGCTTCTAGCAAGTTTGCTTCACTGTTGCTGATGTCCTGGTTAGCCCCAACTGATCGACCATGATCATCACCAATATCAGAAATCGCAGCTTGCTTATAAGAGACATTAGCACTTGTTTCCTTATCCAGGCGAATATCCTGCTCGAATTTTCTATATAGAGCCTCTAACTCCAGTATGTCCTCTCTGACGTAGACAATCCGGTCAGATTTACAAGAGCAGCTCCGCAGTTCTTGTTCTGTACTCCAATCAATAAATATAGTCAGGTAAAATACAAACTTGAGGGGAAGGCTAGAGAAACAGCAATGTCAGGATTTCCTACCATGATGAAGGCAGATAGGATCAAAGGTGCATCCGCATGACACATGTGTAACGTAGCAATCACGCCGGCACATGCTACAGGATAGGTTCGAATACATTTTTGGCTTGTAGTATATCTGAGAACCCATTTTAGCGAGTAAGCTGCGTGTGCGCCGCTGCAGTCGCATCAACCTCACAAAGGAAGACTTCACACAATATTGAGTGTATGGATGTTCAGAATTAATTGTTTCTGGATCACTCAGTTTGTGGGACAGAAGCATTGCAGAACGGCAAAGTAGCTCCTCGTGTGCAAGAAAGGGTGTTCTGTTCAGAAGTGCGTAGCGTTTGCTAGCCAGAGAGCCCAGAGGAAACCAGTCGCCAATAGCAAAATTGACAGCCTCTCCACAATTGAAGCCTGGGTAATTCAAACATTGCTTAGAATATATAGTATGCATATATGCGGAAATTACCAAGCAGAAGATAGAAGAAACTATACATACCGTGGCTGAAACCTGAATGGTACGAACGAGGGAATGTTATAACAAACTCTCCAGGCTTCTGCACAGCTTTATAAACAGGAACATTGTGGTCTAACAAGATATTTGGGGGGAACATTGTTGTCTTCCCTAACAGAACATCAAAAGCTGCATCCTCTCCATCACCAGTCAAAATATCCTTGTTGTACACATACTGGCTTGCCACCCTTTCAAATCCAGGAGCAGCATCGCCTGGTATCCCATACCATGTCTTAAATGCCCCACAATGATGATAATTGATGCTGGTTATGTGATAAAAATGTTAGAAAATTGTCCATAAAAAAGGAACGAGGAATAACCATGATCAATAATAAGAATGAGGATGAGTACCTGTACAAATAGTGATCTTCGACATGCCATGCAAACATGCTAAAGAGCATACCGATATAAAGCATTGGATCTGTTACTCCCTGTTTTGGATCAGAGTAATTACAATCACGACGAATCCATATTAAGAATATACTAAAACATAAATAAGCAAGGAATAGATTACATACCGGAATTGGCGTCTGCAGAAGTCTCAGCACAGAACTGGGGAGCCGTGAAAAATTCTACAAGCATAGAGAAGAAAATCATGAATAAGACTGTAAAGTAGCCAACATCACACACAGGGAGAAAGGGAGAGAGGGGAGCATATTTTACCTTGAGGTTCCAGTTGCTTTTCCCAAGCTGATCGTGAGAAGAAGAAGAGAAGGCACTCCCATCAACATCACAAGCATATTCAACAAAATCCATCTTTCCAGAAGAGATTTCACGCCAGAACTCCTCCTCCACGTACCTAGCAGGGAGACAACTAGCACTGGAATACTTCTTAGAGAACACTTTGTTGGCCATTCTCTCGTAGTCTCTGAAAGTGTACTTTCTGCAGAGTCGTGAAAAATGTGATGAGACTTTGAAGGCAAACTAAATAGGGTACTGAAATAAACAGAGAGTAGCACACCGTCCACTCATAAAGAAAGTGACTGTATCGTCTTCAGCCCATTCAGCAAGACGAAGCGGCTGAACCCTGGTCATGAACTTAAAACCAGGTTGTTCCTTCATCAGCACGACACCAGCGGGCACAGAAGCGCTTACAGGTGCCACGATTTTGCAAATGCCTGGAGAGAAAGATGCCATTGTCATTATTTATTCATCCATTCGGTAATACATTGGCAAGAGAAATGGGTCTGAGGTAAAAGGAAGGTGTACCGTATTTTGAAGCCACCGGGGAAATTTTCTGTATATACGCAATGGGATCCTCGAATTCCTCCTTGGTGGGACAATACACAGGGCACTCTGGTATGTTGTCTATCCACTCTAGGTTAGACATATCGAACTTGTCCACCTTGCGCTTTGCAAATGGATTATTGTTCTGGGCACTGCTAGTGCTAGGTAAACCCGCAGTAACATTGTTGGCATGCAATCTCACCCCACAGTTTGCAGGAGTCCGCAGTGAGTCCCCGCCGCTCCTTGCAGCCATGGCAGGATTGTCACCGGCGTCTTTCTGAGCACTCAAACGCATCCTCTCAAGTCTCCTCTTCTTCAGTGTCTCGAGCCCATTCCTGACCTCTGCGGGGAGACAGCTCCTTCCCTCCACCTAAGACATAGCTAGATACATCAGAGAGTGAAGAAGCACATGCAGCATTGCAATTTATAATGTGCAAGCCGGCATTGACCAACAAAGACAGCAGGGTCAATTAGCACCAATAGTTTGGATGCCACGAATTGGTCATAGGTGGAACCGAAAGAGCGGCAACTCCCAGCCAAGTCAAGAAAGCAATAGTCATGGAATCAAACACGGCACATTGATGTCCTCCACGCGGGTGCTTCCCTGCCACGACCATCCGTCGCAATCAGTCTGCCACTGAATTTATCCAGAGCCGTTCTATATTCGAGGTACTATAAAAAGTCCTACTGTATCTCGTGGCAGCAATTTATATAGAAACGCTCGCTGCTTTGAGAATAACGGTCTCTTTAGTAAGAAGGAATCCATAAATTTCGAATCCACGGCCATTAAATCGCAAGCACAACGGTTGATTGACTGATTGAGCGAGGTTCTGCATACTGTAGAAAAATCGGCGGCGAGAAAGGAAGAGGAAAAGGGGTACTAATTTGCAGACTTGGTCAAAGGTAGAATTACGCACATGCGGTACGACCATTGGAGTAGAAACTTGTGGAAAAGGGGAGGAAGATGCCATTGCCTGCTTGGCGCTCGCCGAACAATGGAATGCAACCCCACACGGCAAGGAATAGGACAGCCTAAACTTAACTTGGGAGTACTAGTAGCAGTGATTTAGCACGAGCATCTTAATTAGCCCAAAGGAGAGGGGAAAAGCGAAGAAAAATAAATACTGGTAGAAGCCCAGCTGGTGTGTTTGACTTCTCACGCAGCGAATCTATCTACTACTAATCCTAACGGGCGAGGACGAGCGCGAGGCCAAATTAATACAGCTCATGCGGTGATGATGATACTACCTATGAACAAATCCAAAAACAAAGAGATGGCATAAATAAATGGTTCCTCCTGGTTTTCCAACATTGACGGCCTCGGAATTCACGGGGACGCAGAAACAGAGGGCGTACGAGCAATTCGCCGGACGCGGATTCGTGCGTAATTCGGAACAATTCTCCCAATTGGCGCGGCTCGTGGCGGAATCCATGAATTGCTCGGCGAGGGGGGACGAAATTTACAGGGAAAACGACGCGGTAATTCGAATACTAGGCCTAGGAGAGAGGAATCGAACAGTGACCGGCCACGAACACGCATTAATTGAGGCAGCGGCGGAAGAGGAAGGAGAAGGAGAAAAGGCGCGAAGGAAGAGGGAGCGAGCGACGGAAGCGGAAATTGAAGGGGGAGGCAGATCTCGCGACTCACCATGACTCCGGCGGGGCGCGGCGCGGTTGCGGAGGCCCGTCTAGAGAATTCCCCGGCGGCACGGGTCCCGCATTCCCCTCCGGGCGAGCGGGCGGCGGCGGGGATCCCTCCCAGCCCAACCGAAGCCGGCACGCGCGGCGCGGTCCTCCTTCCTCCTCCTTCCGTCGGTTAATTTCCCGCGCGAGCTACGCGGGAGCGGGAGGTGGAGGCGGGGGCACTGGCGCAATTGAGGGCCAGCAATGGGGGCCCCACCGCGGGGGTTGCCGGCGGGGGAGCGGGTCGCCGGAAGAGGAAGGGAACGGGACGGGTCTCTGGCTGTGGGGGAGGGGAGGGGAGGGGCGGGGAGGGTGATATGGGGAAACCGCGGAGAAGGGAGACGAGAGAGCCCCACTTGTACCCGTCGCCCACGCTTTTCGCTTTCCTTTTTTTGCGTCGGGTCGGAGGAGGAGAGGGAGGCGACGGGGTCATGGGAGCGGCGTTGGCGTTGGAGTTGGTTCCACTAACGGAACCGCGTCCCCCGCGCTCTCTCCCCGTTCTGCCCCTGGGCTTCCCACCCCTCCGCCCATTGTCTTTCTTTCTTTCTGGTGGGACTTTTCCTCCTCCTCTCGTCCGCCTGTGTGACACGAGGGAGGGTGGGGGTGGAGGTGGGGTTAGTTGCTCACCTCACCTCACCTGCATGTGACATTTACTGTCCTACCACCACCTGGGACGGACGGACGGACGGTTGGCCCAAAAGGTGCTTGCGAAAACACACAAGTAAATTCCACCTCTTGCTTTTTCTTGATTGAATGAACTACTCCTAGGTTAGCTCGCCACGTGTCGCGCCTGCGTGAGATGAGAGAGACCGCTGTGTGGCTGGAGAGGGATCCGACCTGTTTTTACTTTTTAATTTAATCATCTCCCCCCTCTGATTTTAAGGGGATGGAGTCAGCCTTATTTTGTTTCAATTAAATCAAGCCACGTAGGTGGGAGTACGGATGGGCGCACGCTTAGGGAGCAAGCAAGTCTCGTCCGCCGGAGAGAGACCAATGTTGGCTTGACTCGGATTTAGTTACTTGTGCAGGTATATTCGCCTCTGGATAGATAGAGTGGACAGGAGGCATTTTTTCACCGTTCTAACCAGTACTAACCTTTGGTGGTTTTGATTTGATTTGATTGAAAGGTGTGGTGATTTAACTAACCCTGGATTAGGATCAGGGATACTAGGTGTAGGAGCGGTGGATGGTTTCCACGGTAGGTGGCTGGTCCCGAACCAACCCCCTCCCTCCCTCCCTCCCTGGCCAAGGAAGGAGAGCCAACCCAACCCAACCCCCGGGAAAGAAAGGACGGGCGCGGGCATATATGATGGGTATCCTATTCCCATAGGGGCTGTGTTGTGGCTGTGTGTGCTGTTGGGCTCACGGCACCACCTGGAACAGTGCAACCACCACGCCACCCACGTCCATTACTCCATCCAGAGAAGAAAGCGGAGGGGCAGTCCCGTCATCCCGCCCCCTGCGCGCGACGTCGCCGCTCCGTTGCGTTGTGTTGCGTCGTAATGAATGCCACGGAACGGAACCCACTTGGCCAGCCCAAGCCCCCCGGGCCACGGGATGCCGAAACGTGTCCGGGGCGGACGGCCGTGATCGGTCGGGCTCGCGGCTGACGCGTGGCCGGTTGCGCGGTTGGAGATTAGGCGCCATCCGATCCCTCGTGTTGTTCCTTTCTTTGTTGCCGCGTCAACGGCCAGGCTCGCCTCTCAACCGCCTGCCGGCTTCGCTCGCTCGCGGGTTCCGGGCTCCCCCTCTTTCGGCCGCGTGCTGTTTTGTGCCCCAGTTTAATCGCATCGAATGAGAAGACCGTAGCAGCATCTCCCCTCTCAAGCAGGATTCTCACCGACCAAAACCAAACTTAATAACCGAGACAAAACAGAATCCACCTGCCTGCCTGAGATGCACGGCAAAATTACCCCGCTCCACTCAGGCAGTGGCATCGCAGCAGCGGCGGCCTGGGTGTGAAGCTCGTGAGCCGAAAGCGGAAAGGGAAAAAGGCGAGGCGAGGCAAAGCAAAGGTGGGGTGTGCTGTGCTGGGCTGTGTTGTGTGGCTCATGTGACGACCTTTTCAGGCTTTTTACTGCTGATGCCATGCTGCTGTCGTCGCCTCTAAATCTAAACTGAATCCCCTCCCGTCAGTCAGATCTGTGCTACTAGTACCGTCATCACGACACCCAGTCACTAGCTGCTACTCTCGCTTCACCTCACTTCCGTCCACGCCAGCACCAGCTCCTGCGTACGCGTGGCCCACCTCCTTCCTTCCACGTGTCAGCCCGCCTCATGCACATCACTTGCTTGTCATTTCCTTCTGAACATATATATGTCTTGTGAAGCTGTGATGAGCATGCGTTGCATGATGCTTGATGAGCTGCTGCTGCTGATGACTGTGTATGGATAGTGGTACTAGTACTAATTGCCTATTTAGCTGCTTGTCTCAAAGTGTCTGCAGCCCCCGCGACAGGGGATTAATTGGAGCACTGGCTAATGGTGGTACTACATCATCCGTTTGTCAGTCCCTTTTACCTGATTATTAAGGGTAAGAAAAGGTCGTGTGAGTCGTCTACTTCCGGTGGTTTTGCTGAATTGGGAAAATAACAAGAGTGACGGGTGCCTGTGGCGGCCTGCGGGCCCAGATGATCAACGAGGCACTATATGACTGACAAGGTGGGTTGCGTTCGCATTTCTTTTTTCTTCCGGCATTGTTTTGTTGATTGGAAAGGCAGGGCGTGGTGAGGACCACCACCACCACTCCACCACTCTCCACTGCATATTTGCATGTGGGTCTACCACAAAATCCATCTCCCTGCCGCGGATTAGGTTGATGCTACTAGTACTCCTACTCATAGTTTTAAATAACCCGCTGCTAAATAATCACCTTCAGAAATAGCTCGCTATAGCTGATTTGAAGGCTCGTCGCTATTTTACATAGCCCGCTATTTAAAACAATGGTACTACTAGTGATCAGCTGTAGTACTACCTAGCAGGTTGGAGTACAATTAGTAGGGCTAATTGCATGTTACGCACAGTGTACTTTGCTTGTTTTGGCTCGCGGCTGTAGGACCAGCCACACACCCGATAATCCCCCTCTTGATAAAAACACGGTAGCTAATTAAAGGAATGACTATTATTGTTCCGGAAGCAAAAGTGAGTGAGAAAGATGAGTGGCCAGGGGCATGTTAACGGACGAATGGGGCATGGACAGGGTGAAACGCTGAATGCTTCAACAAAAGAGGAAGGAAGACCGCAGCGGAAACGTTGACCGCGACGTGGCGATACAGCGAGCACGCGCGCATTAGGAGGGCGGTCAATCATCTCAAGAGACGATCGAGATGCAGTAGTAGTATGTTTTATTGACCACTTTTTTAGATCAGTTTGTCTAATTCACATCTAGATGTTATTTAATGATGTCACATCTAACCTCCTAAAAATAACTACGCAGTAACAAGAAATAAAAAAAAGCTGGGACAAAAGAAATAGACCACAAACATAGTGCTTATCAGGTTAGATGTGACATAGTGGTCACATCTAGATGTGTCCTAAACAGACCTTTTTTAGATGATGGGAAAAGCGCGGTTCAGCTCACATACCGTACGCACGCCAAAACCGTGGTCTTGG